GATCGTTTTAATGTGTATATGCTCGTATTATAAGGTTACGTGAGCTGTATGCATTTCTCCGTCGAAGTCAGCAGACAAAATCTATTACTCCGCTCTCTAGATTCGCATGCTTTCCGTCACTTGGTTCAGGTTGAACCAGCCTGAACAACATCATGACTCAACGTTCAGGCCCTCAGTTAAAAACATGAAAGGGGCTTGGTTTGATTTGCTGCAGTTTGGGTCAAACCAGTTGAAGCAAGGGTCGCTTGATGTAAACAGCATTGTACTCAAGAGACGTAAACCTAACACTTTTACACGTCTCCCCCTGTCTTTGATGCATACATCCCTTCTTGTTGCTTCCCCATTCACACTCTAATATGTCGTCCTTTCCAGTCCTTCAACCTCAAAAGCTTTGCACACTTCTTGTGCCCCTCTTTTCCTATTGTCATATCCCACCTCACATGGTTTGTCCTGTCCTCCTCATTCCTTGCTTTTCCTATTGGTCCTACCTACTTTCTCCCTCTCTCATGCTCTCTCCCATGCCCAGTAGACGGAATACAAGCCCTAGTGCAAGAAAACAACACTTTGCCTTCACTCTCCTAACCCATCTATCTCCTCCCATTTAACACACATCTCGAAATAATGTCCGTTGCGTTGCCCTTATGCCTCTGTCGCTGGTTTTCAAATTCCCGCTGCTGATGGGGTTGATCCTATCTGCTTCTCGTTATCATGCAAACCTAACCTCCCTGTATCTATCCGCCACATGCCCACTTATGTTCGTGTTTGCAGATACCTTTCTGCCAACCAACTTACTGGATCAATCCCTGCTGCAATTGGCAACATGACAGAGATTCAATTCTTGTAATTAGACACGAGCAAGTACCAAACATGAATGGGTTTGAGCCGAACCTGGTCAAACTGGCTGGTGCAACTCAACAACCACCTTGGTTTGGGTTGAACCAGCCTGAACAGCTAATGACTCAACACTCAAGCCGTCAGCTTGATACATGAAGGGGCTTGGTTCGATCTGCCGCAGTTTGGGTCAAAGCATTTAAAGCAAGGTTTTTCTGATGTATGTAAGCAGCAATGTATTCAAGAAACGTAGGCCCAACACTTTTACCCTTCTCCCTCTGTTTTTTTTCCATACGTCCTTTCTCGTTGCTTCCCCATTCGTACTCTAGTATGCCGTCCTTTCTAGTCCTTTAACCTCAGAACCTCTGCACACCTCTGGTGTCCCTCTTTTCCCATCGTCATATCACACCTCACATGATCTGTCCCGTCCCCTTCATTCCTTGCTTTTCCTATATCTACTATCTTGTTTCCCCCTCTCTCTCACTCTCCCCCCCCTCTCTCATGCTCTCTTCCATGCCCATTCTGTACAGTGAATACTTGCTCTGGTACAAGAAAACAACACATTTCCTTTCACTCTCCTAACCCCATCTATCTCCTGCCATTCTGCACACACCTCGGGAACAATGTTGCCTTTTTTTTGCCTCTGTCTGCAAATTTGAGGTCCTTGTGTCTACCTACCGCATGGCCTTCATTTTAACCCGTGCAGAACCCTTTCTGGCAATCAGCTCACTTGCACAATCCCCACCGCAATCAGCAAACTTAAGAACCTAATTTCCCTGTAAGCCCCTTTGCTTGGCTGTTCTGCCCCTCCCTCCAACCTTTTCCACCCCATTTCACGCCCCACTTTGCATTTTGCATATTTCTGCACATAGCTTGGGTAGTTTCGCATGCAACCTTAGTAGGGGTGCCCATCTAGGGTCAGTCAACCCTACGTGTGGTTGGAAATTAACCTTTGGCCCAGATAGGCCCTCAAGGCTAGGTGTGAGAATTAGAAAACTCTTGACTCGCCTTGTCGATATTATCTGAACCTTGCCCTAGTCCTTCAACCTTAACTTATTGGTGGAGGGCAATAATGTCGAAGATCCCAACCAAACCCCTCCGTTTTCAATGAACTGCCCATGTCTGATGTACTTTATTCCCATCTCATCAATCCTTTAAACGCTGTCAATAGTTTTGGCTCACACCCCTACAAGATTCTAGAAGAATAACGTACGTATCCTGCATAAATAACTACTACAACGAGAGCTAGGCTACGGGCTAGGCACGGGTGCTCATGTGATTTCTGCGTTGTCTGTTCCTTCGTCATTTTCCTAGTGCTCACACTGCTTGCTAGTTCACAAGGCAATTTGGCAAGAGTTTCACTAGAGAAAGTTCAGAACAATGATACAATGAAGTTGGCATCACAAGACTACATCACAGCAAACAGCCAAGTCGGCCAACTGCCAGCGCAGCTTGGTCGACCGCGTTCCAGCACGACTAGGTCGACCGCGCTCCAGCAGTGCAAGGTCGACGGCGTGCCAACGTCGCAGGTTGACGGCGTGCCAGCACTGCTCACGCAGAACAGCAGTGCACCCGCTTCGCAGGTGCGCACAGACGATTGGCGTACAGAGTCCCGTCACCTGCACAGCGCACACACCACGTCAGCCTCGAGCTGACGACTACCTCTGATCCGCCATGACGACCTCGAGATACCACCACCGAGGTCGGGCTTGCCAACTTCGCCTGGGCGACCGTCGCACTCTTCCGCAGCACTTCGTCACCCACGTAACTTGGTCGACCGGGCAACCACGTCGACCAGCAGCTCCCGTATGCGCCCGTCGACCTCCCAAGTCGACGGCCACCTCCATGTCGACCTCACCAGGTCGACCACGCCCCTGGTCGACCAGCTCTAGGTCGATGTCCCTTCTGGTCGACCAGCTCCACGTCGACCAGCGCGGTTGTCGGCCGACCACCCCCATCGGCCACCCGAAGTCAGCGTCACAAAGGTGACGCCCCGCTACTCGACGCCCAACTGCTCGGCGTCCTGAGTCGAGGTCGACGTCGGCCCCTCCTTCATCGACCACGTTCTCCGCAGGTCGACTCCCAAGTCGGCGCCCGTGCAGTGACCCCCGCGCAGGTCGACCTCCTCGTCGACCAACTCGTCCACTGCTGCAGGTCGACTGCTCCCCTCACAACCGACCACGAAGTCGGCTCCGCCCAAGCGAGGACGGGGCCAACACCCAACTCCTGTTGACATATCCCACGTGTATTTCTCCCTGGGCTTGCTTAGCCGTATCCCGTGTGCCTCCAAATGCACCCCCTATGCCAGTTTCCATGCTCCTTGTGCCTCCCTGCGCTTGTTTTGCTGGCTGGCTTTGCCGTCCCCCCTGCTCCTCCTAATTCCCATCTGCCTAGCTCTTCTGCGCCCTCTGCACCTGTTGGCACCCCTTTTGTCACAGAATATATGAATAAACGGAATAAATTTGTGAGGATTTTTAGCGAGGTGCACTAACTACATGAGTTGTGCTGTTTAATAATTCGCGTCGGCTGATTCGAATTGAATCCGGTGCGCGACATTTTCCCGTTTCCCAGAACGTCGTGTTTCTCTATCTACGGATCGTTCCTTATTGTATGCTAAGGTCGTGCATGGACAGACCAGTCACCTCACTGCCTCAATCCTCCCTGCAATTGAAGATCCCCACCTCGCAAGCCTGTAAAACCTTGCTGAACCGGCGGGTGTAGTCGACCCCACCCCACCCACTCTGGTTCTGGCCGAACCAGCATCAACAGTGCATGCTTTGATGTTCTGGTCCTCAATATTAGATCTGGGTAGGGTTGGGATACTGGTGAAACATCCAACCCACAAAAACTACGAGATCACCTTTTAATGCTCTATTCAGCTTCTTCTCCTGTCCTCTGTCATTTTCCTCCTCTTGATGCCAGTCCAAACCCGTGCTCACTCTCCATTGACCTCTCTTCTCCCCTATTCTCTCCTGCTATATTTAATTTCCACCCCGCTCTTTTTTGAGATTACACCTCCCTTTCTCTATCCCCTACCCCCTGCAGCGATCTCTCTCGCAACTACCTCACAGGTCCCCTCATAAAACTCTCGGGCATCAAAGCAGACCTCTCCAACAACTACCTGTCGGGTGTGATGCGACGTTCTGAAGCCAACTGCAGCATACACAACATCGTAGCCAACTGCTTCGCACAAGAAAAGGCCTGTGGTCAACTACAGCGGCCACCAGCGCAGTGTCTGGCTTTCTGTGGCGTCTCTCCAACCACTGCTGCCTGTGGTGGTCGTGGCGTGTGCTACCCAGACGGGCCCAGTTTGGTTCCAACGTGCCTGTGTGGTGCACGGTCCAAGCAGTTTGGATTACTCCGCTGCGTCCCATTCACAGGAGGTGAGCAGCAATTGTAGCATGCCTTACAGAGAAGGGTCTAAGGGCGTCGTAGTCTTGGTGCTCCTTAATGATGCACTTTCTAATCATTTCCTCGCTTTCTAGCTCGCACACATCTAGTTAAACCATGCTCTGCTGCACTTACCGCTTGCTACTCATACTTGCTGAGCATGCTGAATCACGGTGCCATCACCATAGACAAGGCACAAACCCATACCGTATTCCCCCGGATAAAAGACCCACCCCGAATTGTACACCCCCGGGTAGCTTATGCGGGGGGGGGTCTTATATTTGACCCCGTTGGTACTATACCCCCCCTTTTGGGGTGATCCTCTATAACACCCCCCTTTTCTTACGAAACCCTATTATAGCTGTTATCGAGTCAGATTTTTTACGGGAGGATATGACGAAAATCGCTCCCTGAATGAAATTTCGCGTGCACTTTCACTTCGAATCTACCGAGATTCCCTCCCTCCCACAATCTCGCTGTCGCCACGCTGGCGAATCTTCCGCTGCACGTGGCCCGAGAGGTGAAACTGACATTCTCGCCAAAACTCGAATTCTCGCCTCAACTTGTGATGTTATAACGACTATTGAAACACCCAAATTGTCTAATTAATTGTTTTCCTTACACTAAAAAGTGCCATATATAACCACCCGGGTATTATAAAATATTTTCCGTTGAGGAGACCCCCCCCACTTTTTCCCAGTGGTTATCATAATACCCCCGGGTCTTTTATCCGGGGGAATACGGTATCTACGGACGTCACTCCCATAGGGTTTGACCATATGATCCGGTTTGCACAACTTAACACATACACATTCCGATGCTCTCCTCCCACTCACTCCCATCCTTCCTCTGCCCCGTCCACCGCTGCCCTTCCCTCCCAACTCTCCAGCCACCTCAAGGGGAATTCTCCCACCATTCACGGTTCTCACCAAAGGCACACAGCGGGAAACAGTGGGGAAGTTTGCAGGAAAGCCTGTGACCCTATTCATCTACCCGCCTGGTGTGACCTCAAGATGTGGCTTGGAGTTGGCATTCACTGTCAACTTCACCTTCGCTCTCTTGCCCCACTCTGGTCGCGCCGGGCCCAGCGGCTTTGCGTTTGTGATTGCCGCAACGGCCAAGGCAGGGAAACCAGGAGGTGTGGGGTACAGCGGGATGGGAGCTCGGAGCATAGCCATTACTTTTGACATTAAAGAGAGTCACCAGCGCATGGGGCTGAACATGAATGGCAGAGGGGAACCCGTGGTGTCGAAGGTTTCACCATTCATGCTCACTGATGGCAATTCATACACGGCGTGGGTGGATTATGAGCCTGGGGATCCGGGCACCTTTCGAGTCTTCTTGGCGAGCTCGAACGAAAAGCCAGAGGAGCCGCTGCTGCTGCAGAAGGGTGTGTCGCTGTGTGCTGTGCTGCGGCCGCGGGTGAAGCAGCAGCGTGCCGCGTTCTCGTTTGGGTTTACGGCGTCTACTGCTTTCCAGCTGCATGGCATTCTATTCTCTGCTGTGCAAACAGGCAAGGCTATTCTGGGCAGGTGGGATGACGCTGACTGCCTTGATGATATATTCGGGGTGGTGGTGGTGGATGGTTGCTGGTAGTGATGGCAATGGTTTGTGATGAGAAATAGGCAGGAATAAGTATCCAATTTAGGGTATTTTCAATTTCATTCCTTGTTCATATGGGCCATTCGAAGAACGACGAGTCAACACGTGAGGTTTGGATTGTGCGGGATCTACTTCTATGGTCCAAGAAAGAAGTTCAAGCTCCAATTTCCTCTCGTACCCTTTCTTTTAATTTCCAAAATCTGGCATGAGCGCTGGATTGAACTGAACTTGAATCGTTCGGCCAAATCAACATGTTTGACTTGAACCGGTCCGGGTTCGATTCGACCATCCCTCTGGCTCAACTCAGTTCATTTCGAGCCGATTTTGGTTCAAGCCTTGGCTCATTTCTGATGAACAATACACTAAGTAATGGGTTTTCAATTGAGTCTTTGCTGGGCACTGATGATTGCGTCTCCTGCCATGGCGAGGCATTTATCGAGATGGTGGTTAGCGGTAGCTATTTAGCACGAAATTGCCTTTGCTACCCACTCTTGTGGTGGCTCTCTCCCTATCCAAGTCCCAAACCCCACTCTCTGGCTTCTGTGCTTATCTTTCGTCTTGTGTTTTCCTCAACAGGCGCCCCTTCATCCAAGGTCGTCCAGACCAAGGAGCAAGGTGAGCTACATGTCATGTGGCAACACAGAACCTTCTATATGTTCAGACATTTATTGTGCTCACATATCGTCCATAATTCCCCCACCACGTCGCCATCGGCCACTGTTAGTAAGCTACGTGCAAAACCACCAAGAAAAGCTTAGCTAGCTTTGATTGTGCATTCCGAAGGGGGGTGGTTGATTACATCACCAAGGTGCAGACAAACCATAGGGCCCTCGAGCAGCTGGAAAATGTCTTCCCCAAGCAAGGCAAGACTGTGGAGAGTCACTTTACACCGGGAGCTGAACTACGGTAGGAAGCACGGGTGGTACGAATGGTCGTAGTCTTTGCTTGTATTCTATCTACATCCGCATTCACGGGGAAAGTTGGGAAGATTTTCACTAGCAAAAGTTGGATACATTCATGCAAGAATGATACGCAACAATGACTACATCAGATGCAATAGCACACAGGCAGGTCGACCACCGCCGTAGCAAAGTCGGTGACCTGCCAGAACTGCAGGTTGGCACCGCGCCAGCGTTGCAGAAAGGCGGCCTGCCAACAGAGCAAGTCGGCGGCTTGCCAACACTGCACCAAGACGGCTTGCGAACACTGCAGTAAAGTGGCCTTCCAACGCTGCAACAACAGGTGACTGTAAGTGCATGTGTGCCGCAGGTGCTTGTAGATGTTGTTCACGTCGTGCATTGCCACGAACGTTGAGCGGGTGCCAAGTCGGCCACGTGCTGATGGTTGCGCCTGATGGGCCACATCGACCTTGGGATACCACCTCGCAGGTCGACTTCACCAAAATCAGCTAGCAACGTTCGCGCACCTCTGCAAAACTTCGTTGCCCTCGTTACACAATAGGCTGGGCAACGTCCCCGGCCTCGTCGGTCGGCGCCCACAAGTCGGCGCCCTCCAGTCGACGGCCTCCTTCATCGACCACCCATTTGAAGTCGGCCGTCGGCTTCCCGTCGTCGGCGGCGTCGCAGTGGTCTCCCGCAGGTCGACCAACTTTGTCGAACTGCTCCGCCCAGGTCGGCGTCGACCACTGCAGGCGGTCGGCTGCACCTCTTGCGCACCCGACCGTGAAGTCGGCTTCGCCCAAGCGATGGCGGGGCCAACTCCTGTCAACACATACCTTTTCCAAGAATCGAATTCACCATGCATTGTAAAGGCTCATCCGTAGTTTCAAGTCCTGCCTTCCCATTGGAGACTGTGTCTGGAATGTGTGTACCTTCACTCCGCCAAGTGGGTCACCAACAAGCGTCTTGCTCGCATCACCAGCAAACTTGGAGGTTTCAGCCGAGGTCATTGGGATTGCTTCTAACTCCCGTCTTATCCTTTTCAAATCATTTCTCATATGCTTGAGGAGGAGCCTTCTGCTGTGTAAAAAAAAAAACACACACACACACACACACAAAAGTCAATTTCTCACATGTCAAACTTCTTTGCAATCAATTGGAGCTTGCAAGGAATTGGGTTCAGTGATTGTGACATCATAGGTCCAGACCGTGCCATGCCTTTCAACCACTACCCATCCACATCTCCCTTCATCTCCACCCCTTCCCACCCTTCACAGCCCTTGGTCTCTCACTGTCAGAGGCCACATTTGCACCGACTCGAGCCAGTCCCTTTTCGCGCTATGTGAGTGCGGACTTCAATCTGTCGGCCACCAGAGCGGACTCGTGGAGCATTCGTGACTTCCACACGTGGGACAATGTGCCCTTCCTCAACTGGCCTGTCAAGAACCAAAACGACTGCAGTGAGTGGAAAGATAATCGCAATATTTTCACTTCCGTGTGTTCACTGCAGTAAGTACAGTGACCAAAAAAATGCTGGAGATTCCATTCAAATTGTCAAGGTTTTGGATTGATCAGGTTAGAGAGGTTTGGGATGAGAAGTCTACACGTAATCAAGTCAAGAAACCGTATATACTGTAACTCAAAGCCTGCTTTTCTTCGTCACTCCAACCTGACTGATTGCTTTACCTTTCCTGCTCAGATGGGTGCTGGGCGTATGCGGTAGTGGCGAGTGTGGAGGCGGCATACGGCATTGCAAAGCAGCAGAGCGCTCCTCGGCTGTCAGTGGAGGGTCTCTTTGCGCTCATGGGTCTCACTGATTCAGACAAGTGCTTTGCTGGCGGCTCCCCCACCCAGGCTTTTGAGACGCTCACAGCTCTCGATGCCTCCAGTGGTCTCACAGGGGACAGTGACCTGGTAGGGTAAACAGAATGAGGACGTAGTATGTATCATGTGAGGTGGGATAACGACATCAAAGGTTTATGGATGTGGGATTTGTGGAGGGTAATTCACCTTGCCCGCTTGGATGCTCTTGGGCTTGAAACTTGAAGCCGAATCACCTCATCCAATCAGTCAGGAGAGTTTCTATACTTGGCCGAGTGATTGGTTGCTGATTCGTAAAACCACCATCTGCCATGGTGGAAATTATTCCGTGTGCCCTGCATCAGGAGGAGCCACGGTTGCACCACTCTCTAGTTTCACAACTTTGTCAAGCCCCCTCAAACTAACCCACTTCCCATCTTTTCCCATCCAACAATGCTGCCCCTCTCGTAGTCCCAGGCAACAACAGCACTATCAGCACCATTTGCACCACTCTCTAGTTTCATAACTCTGCCAAGCCCCCCCAAACTAATTTACTTCCCATCTTTTCCCATGCAATGCAACAATGCTGCCCTCTCGTCCAACAATGCTTCCCTCTCGTGGTCCCAGGCAACAACGTATCCGGTGCAGGCGTTTGAACGAGCGCAGTTCAAGGGGTATGTGGGGCTCATGCTGGCAGTGCAGCGACAGCCAGTGGTGGTTCACATTGAGGCGTCTCCAACCTTCATGCTGTATGATGGGGTGAGTCGCTGAAACTCTCACTCAGTATCATGCATTGGACACTGTGTTGTGCGGTCCTTGTGTTGAGAGTCATCGCCTATATGGCAGATACTCCTGGTGCTATTATGCTATGATTTTGGATCGTACAGACCAAGTACCATCACTTTGCAGTGCTTCCTCCTGTCACCCCTTCCACAGCTTCTTCATACCCATAGGACTCTGTTTCTTGAACTCCTCATCTATGTTTGTTGTCGCCCCATATCGATTCAGACATTCAAGTACCAGGATCCTGGTTGCTACACGGGCAATCTCAACCACGTTGTACTCGTTATTGGCTACTTCATTACAAGAAACGATGGCAGCCAGAACCGCCTCTGTGCATCCCTATTCCTGCCTCTCTCCAACCCTCCAGGGGGACACCTGTGCCTACATCAGCAGACCGCTCAAGTTCACAGAACTTGATCTCACCGCACTCAACCCCGGCCTTGACTGCTCCAAGCCCATCAAAGCCGGCAGCTCCGTGTGCATTGAGCGCAGTGCTGCCTTTGCATTCACCGTACCCGAGTGTGTGAGATACGGCACGCTCACACCTCAAGACACGTGCGAGCGGCTGCTTCAGAGGACAGGCACTTCACCAGGAGGTGTCAGTGCCATTGAGAATCAATGGGCTGCACTGTACCGCAACAATCCTGGCCTCACTTGCTCTGCCACTATCCCTTCCTCTGCCTCCGCTGTCGGCAGCAACATTGGTGTACAGGTGAGGACTGTGAGGGCTGGGGGGAAACCCTCTGGGATGGGGGAGCACGGAATGGTGGGCAAAAGTAAGAGAGCTTTGCACTGTTCCCGAAAGACCTCGTGCAACTATGATGCATCCCTTGTTAGTCTGCTTCGGTTTCTCCGCCAACTCCTGAGGCTCCGTCCCATGCTTCTATGATCCCAGATTTGCCTGACAGCAGAGTATTGGTCGTTCACGATGGGGATATGCAAGAAGGGTAGGATCAAGCCTGTGCAGCCATCAATGCCATGCTCAGGTGCTTACCACTTCTATGGTGGAACTACCTCAACCGCAATTGCACAGTTTTGCAACTACAATGGTAGGTCTTGCTCTGGTACTGTAGGAGCAAGGTCTATTTGCGTACCATCGACATTCTGAGTTGACCTTTGACTAGATTATGCTACTCATATCAGGCCCTAGGGGCTTCTTTGAGGTGCCTTCAAAGCTGTGCCAGGAGCCATTATGCAGGACAATCTCGCATAAGGTCATGAACATGCACATAAATGGTTGTGCAGTATAATAGCGCAAATGTGGAGTGTTAACTTTCCCAATAGCACATTGCTCGCTTTGATTCCATGTACCATATTGTGTACAGAAGCCCAAATGAAGTAACGTACCTCTCATCACTGATCTCTATTTTTCATCACCAATATCTCTAATTATCAGGGCAGTAAATAGCTTATCAGTTCAGGCATGACTCAAGAGTCATAAGGTTTTGGTGTTGGTGCAGGTTTTAGCAAAGACTCAGGGCCTGTTTGACCTGTCACGAAGACCACCTCCATGAATACAGCACCGACTGGAATCTTCGCTGCAAGTGTAGTGTGCAATTGATACACTGAAAACATCCGATTCGTTAAGCAGGTGATCAAGCCACCTCAATTCTCTGAAACAGAAATATATTATCTACCATACACATCAACCACCAGACACATGCTTTGTTGTCTTATTCTTATGTGTCCCCCCCACCACACACACACGCACAGACACCACAAGAAAAGCGATCCTGCTTAAGTCTATAGAGTGACAAATGAAGCCACCACTGTGCGAAGCTTCTTATTCACCTTCCTCCAGCGACGCTCATTTTCCCCAGTTGTCAGCGTGTAGAACTTGCCTGCACCACGACCACAAACACACACACACACACACACTCACACACACACACACACACACACACATACACACACACACAGATTCAGCCAGAGAAAGGATACAGTACCACACACAAGAAAAGTGCAGGACAATGCTACAGAGTGGCTATCATCCCACAATTGTAAAGCCAACAGAGATTCCACTCAGCCCCTACTTCTAACATCTTCTCTGCCCCTGCAGTCTGCTGCTACTGTACATGCAGCAAGCTTGCCGCAGCACGTACCGCTGGCAATGGCGATTGTGCCAAGAGTGTGGCGAGTGTAGCTGGATGCATGTGCCACAAACTCAAAGTCATAGTACGTGCGCCCGTCCAGCTCCCTCTGTGCGAGAGCATGGTGTAAAGGAAGGATAGAAAGGATGGAAAGGGAGGAAGATGCCAAGCTAGTGAGCGGGGGAGCACAACGGGAAGATAGAAAGGAGGTGCACAGCAGCAGCTGTCGTGTGTGTGCCTGTCCAACTCCCTTGGTGGAAGGAAAGACGGAAAGAGAGGGTAACTAAAGAGAATGAGACAGGAGCCGAGCAAGTGGGAGAGCGAGAGGCAGCAGCAGGGACAAAGAGAAGGACAAAAGCAGCAGTCAGAGAGCACTTGGTTTGTGTGCCCATCCAGTTGCATGAGCATGTCAAAGACAAGCAGACGGGTGGACTAGATGGGATAAGAAGGTTGAGGAGATGACACCCTAGGGGCGAGCGACGATGCGAACGTTAAGTTGCCCCTAGGGAATGGTGTCAGCAAGCGAAGCAAGAACACACATGACCAGGTGGCCTTTTCTGTCCTGGCTGTACCGCATGGAAACCTTTTGAGATGTCTCAAGACGTCTCAAATGAACACACATGACCAGGCAGCCACTTCTGTCCTGGCTGTACCGCATAGAAACCTTTTGAGACATCTCAAAACGACTTTTGAGATGTCTCAACAGAACACACATGACCAGGTGGCCTCTTCTGTCTTGGCTGTATCCCATGGAAACCTGACAGGTGGCGAACGAGGGGGCGTTTGGTGGTGATCACAGGTGGCCGCCTACCCATCTTGCCTACCCATGCCTGCCCACACTAGCCTCTAGCAGCCCACACCAGCCCCCGCGCCGACGAACTGATAGATCAAGTGCGAACAGCACGGGTCTTTTCGAAAATTGACTTACGGGGAGGTTACCATCAGATTAGGATCTAACCATCAGACTGCGCTGAAACGGCATTCAGAACTAGGTACGGGTCATTTGAGTACAAAGTAATGCCATTCAGGCTGACCAACGCACCGGCGACTTTTCAGATGACCATGAACGAAGCATTTAGGCCACTTTTAGATAGATACATGATGGTTTACCTTGATGACATCCTGGTCTACAGTCGCGACAAGTAGCAGCACTTGACGGATTTGGAAGCATTATTTAAAATCTTAGACCAGAATCGCCTACTGACCAAGGGTTCGAAGTGAGAGTTTTTTCAGGACCGGTTAGAATTTTTGGGGCACGTTATTTCAGATGCTAGATTCAAATTTGACCCAAAGAAGTTAGACACGGTAAAAGCGTGGCGTCCCTCGACCAACATCTTGGAGCTGCAGAGTTTCTTAGGGTTCGTGAATTACGTCAGTCGGTTCGTACCCAATATGGCGCGCTTAACAGCCCCACTCACGGATTTGCTGTGGAAAAGAGTGGCGTTTACTTGGGGGGAGAAAAAGCATGCTGCCTTCCCCGCCCTGAAAACTGTTATCTATTCCCCGCCTGTACTCCGCATCGCCGACCCACATCGCCCCTTTGAAGTAGTTACAGCCGTCAGCGACATCGCAATCGAATTTCGGCAACGGCCTACAGCCCATCGCATACGAGTCACGAAATCTGCACCCGCCCAAGAGAAATAACCCGATACACGACCACGAAATGCTCGTGATCGTGCACGCATTCAAGGTGTGGCGTTGTTACTTGACCGGCGCAGACGTGACAGTATGGACAGATCAGAGATCACTACAGTACCTCCGCACAGAACCTCACCTCAACCCACATTAGATTCGTTGGCTCGACTTCCTCGAGTCGAATTTCCACTACACGGTCACCTACAAAAAGGGGGCATTGAGTATCGCCGATGCACTGACCCGCCCCACTGCTCAAATACACGCCATACTACTCGTCTAGACCAGCCCACTACTCACAGAACTAATCACGCACGGCTACCAGACCGACCCGTTCTTCACTTAAGGAAACTTGCTGCAGTTCGCAGCAGCACACGGGGTGTATTATGTTGAAGCCGGCACCGATCGGATCTGGGTATTGGGCTACACCTTACTATAGAAATTACTGCTTCAGGAGGCACATGACGGAGTCACCTCAGGACATTTCGGGGTAGAGAGAATATGGCAGCAGCTGCAGCGATATTATTTGTCAAACATTATATATGTTATGCTTGTGTAGGCTACAGTGGGTTAGCCTATAGGGGGTACACAATTCTAGGGTTTCCTACTTGTACTCATTTCACTGCTAGTTCATTCATTCCTGTCTCGTACTTCTGACATGGTTTCAGAGCAGGTCCTTCGCTAGGACCGATTTTTTTTAGGGCCCACACTATCCTACCTACCTACCTGCGCCTAGAGCGCCTCGTTCCTAAGGCCCCCTAAGGCCCTCTCGCGTCGCCCCTTAAGGCCCCTCACGGCCCCTCGCGTCGCCCCTTAAGGCCTCTCACGGCCCCGCGCTTTCCTCGCTAAAGGCCCCGTCGGCCCCTCGCTAGCCTCTCACGGCCCCCTCAAGGCCCCGCGCTAGCCCCTTAAGGCCCCGCGCAGCCCCGCGCTAGCCTCTCACGGCCCCTTACGGCCCCGCGCTAGCCTCTTAAGGCTCCCCGTCAACCTCGCGCTAGCCTCCCACGGCCCCGAATGGCCCCGCGCTAGCCCCGAACGGCCCCGTGCGGCCCCCGCGCTAGCCTCTCACGGCCCCTTCAGGCCCCGCGCTAGCCCCCTACGGCCCCGGATCGGCCCCGCGCTAGCCTCTCACGACCCCCGAACGGCCCCGCGCTAGCCCCGAACGGCCCCCGAACGGCCTCGCACTCGCCCTGGACGGCCCCGCGCTCTCCCTTTGCGGCCCCTTACGGCCCCGCGCTCGCCCCTCTATGACCGAGCCGAGCAGCGCGACCCGAGCCGAACCGCGCGACCCGAGCCGAACCGCGCGACCCGACCGAGCCGCGCCGCCCTAGCCGAGCCGCGCCGCCCTAGCCGAGCCGCGCCCTCCTTAACCGAGCAACAGTGCTAGTACTGAACTGAACTGCTCCTACTGCTTCTACTACTGCTACTCCTGCTACTACTACTGCTGCTACTGCTACTACTTCAGCTATGGCTAGCCCTACAGTTCTCTCGTTCGATGCTGAGGGCCGCCCGATTAAGTTTGAGATCTGGCTCGATGATCTGCACCTGTTCCTCCAGCTCACTGCCAGGGAGGATGTCTCGTTGTACGATCATGCGTTAGGCAAAGCTGCTGCCCCTTGCTACTGATGCTGACGCCACTACCCGCACCCAGTGTCAGACTCGTGACGCCCATGCTCGCTTCGCTATTCGCAACTCCCTGCCTGTAGATGAGCGCGAGCACTTCGGCCAGCATAAGACTGCCCAGGCACTGTACACTGCTGTAGTTGCGCGCTACTCCTCCCCGGCCTCTGCTGCACTAGGCCGTCTCTCGCTTCCCTACCTGTTCCCTGACCTGTCCGCCTTCCAGACAGTCGCTGACCTCATCACGCACCTCCGCACTAGTGAGGCCCGCTTCCGTGCCGCTATGCCTGCTGAGTTTCTTGCCTCCCACCCTCCCCCGCTCTGGCTCACTCTCTACCACCTAGTCACCCGCCTCCCTGACACTCTGCGTACAGTCAGGGACCACTTCCTAGCCCGCTGCCCCACTGAGCTCACCATTGACCTCCTCGAGAAGGAACTGCTTGCAGCTGAGAAGAGTATTGTAGCTGTAGGTGCCTCTCGTGGCGACCCCCGCACCCCTTTCTTTGAGGGGTGTTCCCCCTCCCCCCTGCTCCCCTCTGTCGCCTCTGCTGCTACTGTTGACCTCCTTGGTGCTGAGCAGGTCGGCTCAGCGTCCGCTCCCAGCGGGCG